TTTTTCAACTTCAGGAGTTCAATTTTCACGCTTTTTTTTAAAATTCCAACTTATAAAATTACAAATTCATATGTTTTATATTTTGTCATGGTAGTAATAATAATAATAATAATAATATAAAAAATCGTATTTTATTAAATTAACTTATTTAATTTTTTTAATTTGATGAGTGGTTATTTCACAACTATTGGTCTAATAAGACGAATCGTACTGAATAAAAGTAAAATGTGAAAATAAAATGCGAGTAAAAAAAAAATTATCGACGTAATTGCTTTATCTTATCGAATCTAACAACCAACAAGATGTATACATGTTCCCATATCTTTTCACATAAAATAATACCCACTTAAGTTATTAATAGAATATACTATCATAGATAAATTGTAAGTAAGTAACGCACGCACTCACACACATGTATACGGTACAGTTTATGAACTATCGATTTTAGTGTCACGATATTATCGATTTTAATGATTTTAGAAGATAATATCGAATAATTATATGGCTGACTTGCGTCCCCAAAACGGGACGCAATTTACCGGTCAAATTTACTACCTGAAAAATATATCTTTTTTTGGGACGCAAGTAACATGCAGCCCTATATTCACTTTCCAATACTAAAGTTGAATATTATTTCGATTACTTATCGTCTACACAGACACAAAAATAAAAAAATAAAAAAACACGTCATTGTAAAATCAATACATTCATCGTTTCACTCAGAATCTAAAATAAAAAGTACAATTTAAAATATTATTAGGGATCATATCTAAAGACTTCAAACCAACTTCTAAATACGTAATTGCAGTTATTTTTATTATTCATGAATGGCATTTCGAAAAATGTTTTCCTTGTGTTATAATATGTTAATCCTTAGATTTATTGCTGTTATTTTTAATATATACCTAGCAAATGTCTTGTTTTTTGTATAAATTACTAATATCTAATAAGTACTAGTTACAGTTGGAATATTTAAAATGAGGGAAGAGTGTTAGGGTCGCGGCGACCCTAACACTCTATAACCTAACCTAACCTTAGGCGACCGGGTCGCCTAAGGTATTTTTTATTAGTGTTAAGTTTGATAATATATATGAGTATAAATAACTATATAACTATATGTATATAGTTTGATATTATTTTATTATATATTTGTTTATTTATATATTTATATTTATATTCAACAAGACGTGTATAGGAAAATAAAATATTTTAATAATATAATAGTTTTAAGTATCGCACCAAAAACACTTCGTTATAACTCCGTGTAAAAAAAGCTAAGTTAAAAAAAAAATTTAGTAATGATTAAATCTTTAAAAAACGTGATATAATATGTAAATTAAGTAGAATACCATTTTATAATATTACAAATACCTATGATGACAAATAATATCAATTGTAATGTTAAATACTTAGTCAACATATTGTTGATACATTATTAATTACTGTAAATACTGTAGTGGTTACTTAATTGTATTTATTTAAGTATACTTCTACGTCCTGCTAAATAGTTAAACATAGTATGTTGACTAAGCATTTAACATTACAATTGATCTTATTAGTCATCATATTGGTATTTGTAATATTATAAAATGGCTTTTACTTAATTTCCATATTATATCACGTCTTTTAAAGATTTAATCATTACTAAATTTTTTTTTAACTTAGCTTTTTTTTACAAGGAGTTATAACGAAGTGTTTTTGGTGTGATATCAGCAATTTTTTTTATGAAATAAGTCGCTATTTTATTTGAATGTACCTATATAACAATAATAATCCATAATATCATGCATCGTTGGCCTCCTGTTGTCATATATTTTTTCTATTTTAGTTTTTTTTTTCTAAAACTATAATATAAATATTATATCGTTACATCTAATCCATATTTTATTATTATGTTTAATAATTGATGTGTTATGGGCTTGAGACTTGAGTCTTAGATGGTTCATGATGACAAATCATAGAATTAAGAGCAGATTTCAATTTCAGAAATCACAGATTTGCCATTGATCTTAATTGTTGCCACGGGTAATGAATTAATCACCAGATTGCTTATTTTATTTTATTATTGTTCCAAGTTATCAGCATAATATAGTATAATACCATCTGGATCTCGAATTCACTAAACAATCACAGTCGTTGAGTCATCAGCACGATTTAAGAAAGTACTTATACCTACGTTATAGTTTATATTGTATCTTGCTGGTCGTCACTCTTCGGCATTACACGAAATGGTATAATGGTAAATACTAAATGGTTGCTGGCGACCGGTATCCGATACACCGCGCTGTCGCAATCACCAATCGTCGTACGTTGTCGTCGTTGTCGTAATTTGTTTTAGAGTAAGAAAAAAGTGGGTAAGTGGATGTCCCTCTGCTGTACAGTAGGTTACAAGTCAATGTATAATGGATGAAAATTGTATAAATACACACGTTCGTAGGCAGTGGTAGCCCATTACGTATAAGCAGGCGCGTACTGGGTCCATTTTCCTTACCGGGAAATTGAATATAATCAAGACCCATTTACTATACTCGTACTTACTAATAGCAATGGGTCCCATGTATAAATATAACAAAAGACTGGTTATCTACCCATTTCTTACATTAAGAAAAAAACTTTACAATTAACACGAATCTAAATCATAAATCAAATGTACATTTAAATTTAAGTTCTATAAAAATAAATAAATACACAACAATATTAACATAATTATTTTTATTTATATGATCTTGATTGCATAGTACCTATAAATAATAAAATATGAATAGTATGTTCTAATAGTTCTTTACAGAGAAAATAATACCTATACAAATAGTTGAATAAAATGTTTAAACACTAAACATTCAACATTCTTCACATTTCTGTACTTTTTTTCACACAATAAGTCAATTACTTGTTCCGAAATTTATATCAGAAACACCTACTCAATTAAAGCTTAATAAATATTAAACACAACTCTATAAACGCAAAATATTATGCATAAAATCTAGCCGACAAAGAGCGCCTTATTATATTATTATGATCAATACTAAATAAATAGATAATAATATACTAATAGTAATGGATTTTATCAAAACTATTATATTGTATAGATATGCTCACACACCATTATAATAAACTAAAATCTTACAGAATACTTAATAAATAACGGCCAGACTGTCGTTTGTAGAAATCGGTCACATCAAATTAAACCATTATTAACGACAACTAAGATATCGGCACGCACTCGTAACGGTAAAACGCAGGGTGTGTGACTTTATTATATGATGCCGCCAGAGAAAAGGAAAGGAAAAAAGGGTATCTGCCGCCAAAGAATAATCTAGTTCCCAAGCTCGCGATAACCTTTTGATAAAGCCGCCTACCACTCTCTGGTCAGCATCTTCTCGTCATCCCTTAAACCAGTGCATGAGCACCATTCACAGAGTAACAACCTCCAAAAAAAGTTTAAAAAGACCGATTTCAACTTGCGACATTCTGGACTCCTTATGTGAGCAATAATCAGTGCGTTTATTATTTCGAGTTTTAATTTAAAAAAATATTACTCTGTGTCTATTAAAACCCTTACAAAATAATTCACAATCGACTACGGATCAGGTAAGGCAATTAATATAATATTTTATGTTAATTGCATTTATTATATTATCTGTGCATGCTTTTTATACAATTGTGTTGTATAGTGTATTTGATTTAATTCTCGAAAACACGATCTCGAGAGCCCTCCGATCACCTGGAGGAAGGTAATTGCTTAGTCTTACGATTTTAATATATTTATCGACAGGCGTCGTATTTTATTTCTTATCGTAATTTTTGAGTCATTACAATATATTAAACATAGGTAAACAAAATTCATAATAATATTATGTTACCTATGAGACACAACAATAGTAGTATGTACGTAAGAAGAATTATTGAAAAATTTAAAATAAATAGTATTTATACTTTTTCCACTCATATCTCATTGTTTCAATAGCAGAGAGATAAATTTTACATTGACTTTTCCGCGTACTTATTTCAAAGTCCTGTCTTAATCTTATTATTATTTTATTATGTATATAATTATTATATAACACTAGGTTCAACACACCAAATCTAAAACCATTTTAAAATTATAAACTATTTTAAATTTATTCAGATATAACTTTAATAGTTTTAATCATCTACTAAAGACATTTATAAAACTAGAAATTAAAAAAGTGCAAACTGTTAAAATTGTAGAAAACAACTAAACCCGTCGAGGAAATTAAAATGAATGAAATAAAATATGTATAATACTAGGTTAATAATATTATCATTGATAATATTAATAATTCATGAAAGTTATAAATAACTATTTTATTAACTGGAACATTAAGAGAATAACCTAAGCTAACAGTGTACCCACATACCGGTTTGTCTTGTCTAGTAATCACTAGAGTTCTAAATAAAAATTATTTGTTTTTCAACGAATATACGTAATAGTATAATATGACCAAACTTAGTACAGTAGTACACCAAAAGTTGCATTATTAGTAACTAAAGCCAACCAACAAAATCATTATCATTGTTATTATTATATTTAAATTTAAACTATCAATTGTAAATCTATATATTAAATACTATAACTATAGACCAATCTCTTTATTCTTAAGCCTATTAAAAATTTATGAAATAATAAATTATAATTATTATAATTATTTAATAAATATTTTTTAATATTAGGATATTAGGCGTCATCATAATAATACCAAAAAAGAAGCACATCAGTAAATTACTCGCAAATAATTTAAAATGGTGTGTTTATTTAGGCTAAGAAAACTCATGTAAAATAATATTTTAATTTATTACAAATATTAAATTTATTGATATAGAAAAACAGAGACATTAAAATCTAGTCCTAGTAAGGAATTGGGGACTAGTTTCACTTCAAAATATTTTAACTTATTATTGAATACATGAATCCACGAATAAAAGTGTATTGTTTCTGTGTATTTTATAAAATGTGTAATAGAAATATAAATTTTTACTTAGTTATAAAAATGTTGTGCATTCAAGCCATCATTTTGGAGAGAGCCGATATCATTATGAATGGAAGTCAACAGCGATTCAAAGTTAATATAGTCTGTTCCAGTCTCACTGCTTCCAAATGCCATGTCACCTATATCTACGTTTGCATCAGGGATTTCTTGGTTAACTAGCAAAATTTCTGTTTGTCCAGACATATTTTCAGGAATATCCTGTGTCACTTGTGTAGAAACTTCACAGATTTCATCTAGGATAATGTTAAAGTAAAATAATATTATTATCCTTTAAGAACATATCAATGTACATATCCATAGTACATTTATTGTTGATTAAATTACTTTCATCCTCATTTGTGATCACGACCTGTTGATTCTCTATAGAATTTAGTATATTGTTTGGTTTTAATACTGATGTTGTTTCTTCCAAAGTGACTTCGGTTGTCTGTTCCTAAAAAAAATAATTTAATAAATCGATCCATACTTCTATCAAAATACAATGTCAATAACATACTTGATATCCATAATTTTTTTTTTTTTGTTCCTGATGTTGGGTTTGGATGTTCAACTGATGGTGGGTTTTATGTTGTTTCTGCTGCGGTTTCTGTTCCTGTGAAAATTCAAACAAAACCAATTTAAGGACCATAACAAATAGAAAAAGCTTATAATAATTTGTTAAATGAGAACCTTTATTACTTTTAGTATCTTAAAATATTTTTATTAAAGGTTTCTGTATATTTTTAAAATTGTACATCTAAGGTAATACAGAATAAAAAAAAATTACTATTTCAAGGAATAAATAGTAAATAAAATATTTTGAGGGTATTATTATATTTGATAATAATATATAACAATTTGATCATTTATCAGACTATTCAATACTTGAATTGAAAAATTACTATTGAATTAGGTAAAAAAATAATTGATAGTTTGCTTAGAATTTCAAAACCCCAGACCACAAGAAATACAATTCAATTGTGCCAGCCACTATTATTAAGATAGTCCTTAAAGTTTGTGACATACTCAACACAATTTAAATTTAAAATTACCTTGTAAAATATTACGACAAGTTTCAACAAAATAATAATTAATTTATACTCGTGTATTTCTATATTCTGTACAATATATTATTGAACTGCATTTGTAAAAATCTAATAGAAATACAAAATACAATCTGAATATCTTTATAGAAAACGAGTCTAATATTTTTATTATAAATGTAAGTTAATCTAATATTTTTTTATTCACTAAATTCTATCATTCAAATATTTGTATTTTATTACCTGGGTTACTGTTTTTATCACAGTTTGTTTTGGTTTTTCATTATTTTTCTTTTCTGTATGATAACTCATCATATGGTTACTAAAGTATAAATGCATATAAAATAAATTAAGGGTGTTTACTGGAGAAATATTATTCATGAACATACCGAAAGTCACCAAGGTCTTTAGATTTGAAAGGACAAAGATGGCATTTGTTTTCTTTAATATTTGAAGGGTCTTGTCTTATTTTAGTTGGTGCATTACTTCCACCAGCACTTGAGGAATGTTCAGGCTGATCAGCAGGCAATATTCCGTATTTATTATGTAAGAAGGTTAACATTGCATTTTTAGCAAGTTTCATTTTATTTCCCAGCTTGTCCATATTAATGAGAAGGGATGTGCATTTCATGCACATGTAATCCGCATCCGTGACAATAATAACAAATTCTTCTCCCACAAGTTCTCCAATCTTTTCTGGGTATGATACATAACTGTGTGGTGTAATGCTTGAACATACACGTGTCCCTTCCCCGCACAATATTATAATATTACAAATAAAACAAAGAACTGGCATCGTATCTGAAAATAAAAAAAAACCATATATAATAGAAAATTTAAAATATAATTTCTGCACCTGGACTTTAATTTGAGTAACAAAAATACATTTATTCCAAGTATATAATGTAAAGTATTCTATTAAGTAATACAAAGGTTATAATAGCAACATTAATAATATAATTTTAACAACTTTGGTACCTAATTGATAATGATTAACATTCAACATAATATATATTTGATTCAAATTATCTACTAAAGAAAAATTAATTTTCAATCAGTGTTATCTAAAAAATATGCATTCTCTTTAATAATAATGAACAAATTTCAATCGAATACACTAACTTAAGTTAAAATATAATTGTATTATAAAATTTTTAATTTTGAGTATTTGTTTTAAATCAGGGAGGTAGGAAGTCAAGGTAAGACAAAATACATTTTCCTTACAGTGAGACACTCAATGTGGTAATACCTGTTTATAGTTGTACAGAAAAAATATTAGACAGTTGCAAAATATTCCTAAAAAAAAGCTTTTGTTAATACAGTCAATGTAAATAAACTTTATAATTATATATAGTGCAGAGGACTTGTAGCATTTGCATATTTTTTTTGCACAGCCACAAAAATAGCAGAGTGCGAAACAAATACGTTTCATGCTTCCACAAAGCTAGTTTTGAAATTTTATTGTGCATATAAATGCATATTTTACGTTTTTTTGGTTTTTAGGGCATATTTTACACTTTTATACGCTATTTTATATTTTTTGAGACATATTTTACTTGAATCGATTTTTTCTACAGTGACATTTTTTTTTCAAACAATACAGTTAAAATGTTTGGATAAAAATTTATTTAATTTTAATTTTTGTCGTTTAATATGGTTTTTGACTGTGCTCGGGCACACATTTTTCTTAGAAGCGATAACGATTTTAACGTAAACTATACCTACGACATCACCACCACAGATACGTGTGTACACCATGCGGGATTTTATTCGATTAGGATTTATTTATAAAACGTTTCTAGACACGACAAGAATCAATATTTTAGTATTTAGTCTCAGTCAGTTCAGCGGAATCGTGTTATCGTGTTATCGTGCTGACTTATTAGCCGTATAATATTATAAATTTATTTGAACATTTAAATTTAATAATTTCAAATTTGTAATAAAATACCGAAAAAAAATTTTAAGTGCATATTTTAATTGCATATTATGGGGTTTTTTAGTGCATAAGTGCTTGCATATTTAGAGCTTTTTTAGAGCTACAAGTCCTCTGCCCTAATTATATATATAATTATAGATACTATAATATTAATTATATGACTCGTTTGCCAATTACATCATGTTCCGGAAAGACTTGTTGTATAAATAGTTAGTAGCACATACTAGAGAATTTATGTAAGATTGCACTAGGGACCTTAAGATTAAATTATTATTATGCCAAATTACATCATATGCAATAATAACTATGTTAAGAGTAAAACACTAAGAGTACACTAAGAGTACACTAAGAGTACACTAATAAGTATAATTCATCACATAAAACCACATATATAACAAAAGATTAGAAAACATCACTAATTTTATTTGGTAAACAATAATTTTTATTAAAAATTTGAAAATTAAGTACCAAATGCAGTAGGTTGTAGTGTGATGATGAACAGTACTGATCGATTTAAATTGGACCAAGTCCATTCTCTCTGAGCAGTGGTGAAGTGTGGAAAATTCAAGTAGACTATAAACATGACAATATTCGATACAAATAAACTATACTAATAATTGATGTATTAGTCATGAACCGAAATGCAAAGATCACAAGATTTAGTTGCGACAATATTCAACAAGTAGAGGTGTAACTGTGTAAGACAACAAATATTTTAACGGTCATCAATAAGCAACAGAGATCTCAACTTACTAATCGTTACGCCGCACTTCTACACCGCGCAAGGATATAATACAACGAATAGGAATGCTAAGCCATGCGCTGGTGTCTCGAAATTGGTTCGAATCACGGATTAATAGAAAAATTATGAAGTGGCTATTCAACAAGTAGCATAAGACAAAAATAAAAATATAAAAATACTGCCGTAGATTTCCCTTCTCGTTAACTCTCATAACTATAAGATGTGAGTTTTTTAACTAGGCACCGACAAATGATTAAAAAACAATAACAATAATTGGGCGTGGGACGAAGATTAGATATCGCTGAAATTCGAAAACTTGTGTGGGACAACGGTGATCGGAAATAACAAAAAGCATAGAAAGTAGATGTCTAGTTCCAAAATCGCGTTGGACAGTAGGTTTTGACGTGGTGTCGTGGTATTAACACGTCTTTGTGGGTGTAAACAATAGATTTCAACCGGGTATAAAACAACGATATATCGACGAATAGTTTTAAATAAACATTTATTGTTACTTACCTCGGCGGAGCTCAACCCAAATGGATAAAAAGGAAAATCACTCGGAGAGTAGTACAGAGTGTCCTGGATTAGTGAATTATACAGTTATACAGTATTTGCTGGAAGCCTGTTTCTGGTACTCAGTAACCGGTAGCAAGTTGGAAGCCACATGCAACAGTCATGACGAAATAGATAGGTATGTCAACAACAATACGAGACGTAGTCCGGTTAGAGCATCTCACCCTTCCCAAACAGAGTCGTAGTTGGCCCCATTTCATTGGCCATTAAATTACCCGTCGAACCGGCTCATAGATGGGGTGAGGAGTAAGATACAAAGTAATAACATTAAACTATATATACCTACTTATGTATTATTTATGTGTTTAGGTAGTTGCAGGTAAGCATAATATAAAATAGTTAATTTTTTATTCATTATTGTTCTATTAGACTCTAAAGTCTACGGGTCAACTTATCGAACTTAAATAAGCGATCTTACATATTATGTAACAATTAATTATTTGAATAATGAACTATATAACTGTTAATTCAATAATAATTTTCTTCACACACCACGTTTACTTAAGTGTAATTTATATTTTTACATTAACCATAATCAACATCTCAAAAAAGTAATAATATTTTAGTATACCTATACTAAATAATAATGTGTATAACATCTAATATTTTATAAGATTTTTGAGTAACACAGCCTTAAAATAAAACAGTATTTATATAAGTTTTAAAATTGTATAATATATTAAACAATCTATAATATAACACACAAAACAGTTAACATACATGAATCTGAACATTTATGGGAATTTATCCAAAAATATTCTTATAATATTACCACCGATCACGACAAACAATTCACATCCACAAATATAATATTAAATGATCTAAAACAATTTTGTTAGTTATATTATTTGTTTTTTTGTTTATATATAAATATTAGTTATTATATATTATCATATTTTTCAAAGTAATTTACTATACTCTTTTGATAATCTTATATAGTATATACAATTAAATTAGCTATAACTTTTAAATTATTAATTATTAATATCTATCTAGTGCTATACTATTGAACTTTAATTTTTCTATAACAAAATATGTTCATTTTTTAATTGTTATAATCATATTACCTATTCTGTATTAAGTATCTACCTACCTACATATTTTAAACTATTGCCTATATAAATTACATTGTACTGTTTATATCTAATTATATGTTATATTATGTTTGTATAGTTCTTAAATTAAAAATGCCTAAATGTTTTAAATGTTTATCAAATCTTGCAAATTTTAATTTATTATTTTTACATTTCAAAGTTTATCATGCAAACAATTTAACATTTTATAAGTGCCTTGAAGATAACTTTTAAAGTCTTTTAGTAGCTTAAATTCATTTAAAAACATGTAAAATGTCATATTAACAGTTCTCCAATTTCACATGATTTGAATAACATTTCTAACAACAATCATTTTGACCTACCTGATGCATCTATTATTAATATTATAAATAATAATGTATTAGATGAGTCCATCATCGAAACTGACAATAGTGACAACGATGAATCATTTGTTAATAATAAAACATAGAGTCAGGGTTACCCAAGAACTAAAGTTCAAAGTATTATGAATGATATAACAATATATAATAAATATACTTATAGGTACCTAATGCTTTATATAGTTAATAAAGAATTTATTTCAAAATATTAATTGACATGAATTAAAATTTGAGTAGGTAGTAGTAAAAACTTATAATTGTTATTCTTACCACAATAGAAATAACACATAATATATATAAAGTAACATTTCGTAGGACCATGCTAATTTTAAAATACTCTAGTTTATATTACATTCAAATATCAAATCATTAAAACAGATTAAATACTTACATGAACATTTATTTTTAATATAATATAATCTCAATTATTTACTTACTTTTTTCACCGTTTTCAATTTGTACAATCTGTTCTTTAAATTGTAAAACACTGCTGGTGCCACAGACGGTTTTCTTCCGCACATATTTTAAATTTAAAAAAATTGTAAAAGGAATTAACTTAAGAACAAATTAACAAACTAATAAACTAACAAACAAACAAAAAAGGGAACACATCGACCACGTCAGACAGCGGTTGATGAATGCCTATGAATCTCCGTGGTTTTATTTTATTTTGACAAAACTATTAATAATAAGTAAATACCTACCTACTAATATATTGTATAAACTATTAATAAATTAAAGACATAGGTAGTGGAGTTTAATGTTATTAAGCTGGTTACACACGGAGAGATTCGAACGTGATTCGAATAGCGGAAAATAATCGACAGAAATAGTACACATGTACCTATATGGATGTTGATAATCAAAAGGTGAATAACAGACGCGTTCGGATCGCTATTGATATTATGAAAATTGGTTTAAGGATAAATTTATAATTTAATAATAAATTATATAATAAATGTTATACCTATATAAGACAATGGCATTGCGTGGCGATGCCCGTTTCCATCAAAGTGTACCTTTCCCTTTTCCACCAATACCCGTTACCACCAAAGGTGTATCTTTCCCTTTTCCACCAAATAAAATAAAAAAATTAAAAACAAAATA